TTATCTTGTAAAGTAATTGATGGGTTATATATCATACTCCAGTCTATCTCTCGGAGCAATGTGCATAGTCTATTTAAGTTTTTTGAAGATAAATTTCGAGTGTATCTAGTGATATTCTTTGGAATTTCGGTATAATAGCGTATAGTTAATATTTGCGCTGTGTGGTCCGATATACCAAGATCCAGTATCTTGGATTTGGTATCAGGATCCTCAATGTTAGTTACCATGTAGTCGCATGTCGCTGATATATGACCATTTGGAAATGTTTGTATTCTAGTCGCAGTGCCTTTTAGTTCATTTCCAAGATTGAAGGAGTCCATAATATGTCATAAAGCGCTATTGAGTGTGTCGATCGTGATAGGCCATCAATGTTAAGATCGCCACAGAAGATTATATTGTTCGAATTTCTGGACACGATATCCAGAGCCTCACTTAATTTTTCAAGAAACAAGGTTTTATCACCTCCTGCGGGTCTGTAAACGGCCATGATGTTGATTTTTGTATTTGCAAACTTAATAATTGTAGCGGAGCATTCTATGATACCATCTATAGAAAGCATTTTGATTGGTTTTATCTCAGGAGTTTTTACAACAGAAACAAGAAAATGGAATAAAAGAAGAATGAAAGTGTCACACAATAAATTCATACTAAAGGCCACTAGAAAACATCAGGAAAGAAAGTACTATGATGTTGACTGTAGGAAGATAATGGGTGGGTTGAATAAAAAAGTAGTACAGGGTGGTTCAAATTCGATGTCCGAAGTCCGAATAGGCTATCTCGAATTCTATAAGAGTTAGAAAAAAAGTAGCTTACATGTCATTATCTCGTTTTTCAAGAAACAGCTAATGCCAAAAACCTAAAAGAGAGGCCATATATTATCGATATTTTAATATCGTAAAACCAGCAAGTGCAATTATCTTGGTTATTATTATAGGTGGAGTATTATAACTAAGACATTATTAGTGAAAAAAAATTTTTTTGTTTTAGATTTTGAGATATGATGACAATTTTTTTAAATGGAAATATTTCCGTCTTTTACCTTTGGAGTTGCAAAAATGGCAGTAAGAAGGACTTTCGACTCTTCAGAGTACCACGAGAAAAAAAGAAAGGAAATTTGGCGTATTGTTATGAATAGAACGACATAGTTTTAAATTTCCCGCTTGACTTTCGAGCCAAAATGGCGTCAAACCGCGGTACTTTGTTAATCTCAAGGTTTGTAAAGCGTATTGTACCTGGTACAATACCAGATTTATCCTGGTCGCCGCACATTGACCACATTGTAAAAAAATTGCTCAGTCTTACTATGCTATGTTAAACTTAAGATCAGAGTTACCTAAAGATGCGTTTTTGCAATTGTACTACTCCCTCGTATATTCCCATATTTATTACTTTAAGTTAATATTTAACTTAAAACAGAGGGATTCCTGTCGTCCTGTGTTTAGAAAACACAAAGTGTTGACGGTAATTGCGATATACATATGTATAAATGTTGCCTGTACGTGAAATTTAATAGCGACAAATTTAAACCCATACCGTCCCACCACGCATATAATACACTAGAGTCTCGATTTGCGTCGGGGTTACGTTCCGGTAAAGTGCGACGCAAATCGAAACAACGCAAATCGAATCACATTATTCCATAAGACACCATATAAATTTATTAGATTCGTTCCGGCGACATCGTAATCACTGTGTGAAATGCGCATACACATGCAATTATTATACAAAATCATTGCTGGGATCAATGTTAGGTAGTATTTTAATAAACAATTCAATAATAAAAATATTTATGTGTTATGTACTATAAAAAACATTATGAATAGTAAAAAATAATACAAACATTATAATAATAACAAAATAAACTTATAATTCCTAACAATAAAAATATGTAATAATATTTTTACGTTTTTAAAAAATCATCCAAAGTTTGCTGTCTTGCATTTAGTTTACGTGTAGTGTACAGGTCCTTGTAGCACTGAACATCTTTGGCTACAGCATTCATTACCGTTCTGCTTCGATTTTCGTCCTTATCGTGGTTAATAAAAATCTCGACAGCTTTGTCAATTAATGAAAACGCTTCTGCTAACTTTTGATTTGTAATTTCTGTAATGTCTTCTGTGTCTGAATGCTCAGTGGCCTCTTCAGTTGCAGCAGTAAAATTTTGTAGTAACTCATCGCATGTAATTTCTTCTTCATCTTGATTTAAAATTATGTCTTCAATGTCGTTTACCTCCATCCCTTCAAAATGTACCTCTTCTGCGCATTGAAGCAAATCATTGACAACCCCTTCGAGGTCATCGGTGTCTGCTCCTTCGGCATCTTCAGTAGATTCTGGCCACAGTTTTCTCCAAACCCCTTTTAAACAACTTTGTTTAACTTCTATCCAAGATTCTCCAACATTTTCGACTGCTTTTAAAATATTAAACTGCTTCCATATTACTTTGATTGAGATTTCATCATTGAGATGTTCTACGTAGATAGTAAGCTTTAAAATTAGAAATGGCACCTTGATCCATGGGCTGTATAAGAGCCGTTGTGTTAGGCGGGAGAAAAATAAATTTTATGTTTTCGCAGATTTTGTCTAGATCAGGAGGATGACTGGGAGCGTTGTCTAGTAGAATTAAAATTTTAAAATCAAGATTTTCTTTCAAACAATAGTTTTTAAGTTCGGGCACAGCAATATCGCTTACCCACTCTCGGAACAGAGTTGCTGTCATCCATCCTTTTTTGTTCCATCTCCAATGAACTGGTAATGAATTTCTTTGATGATTCTTTATTGCCCTTGGATTTTGAGTAGTATTAATTAACAAAGGCTTGAGTCGGTGATCACCTGCTGCATTAGCCCCGAGAAGAAGAGTTATTCGGTCTTATTGTGAAATGTAAGTTCTCTTGGTAGTCTTTTTCAGTAGAGACCAGTTTCGTCTACATTGAAAAGTTGTTTAGGAGATGTTCTTGAGAACATTTGTAAAATCTTCGGCCGCTACTGCATCTCCACTGGACGCTTCTCCCTCCAATGCTACATTGAGCAGTTTAGCTCTTGATTTAAATTTTTGAAACTAACCTCGACTTGCGTGAAAAGTTTCGTCTTTATGAACATGTTCGGGTTTTGACTTTAATTCTTCAAATATGGATAAAGCTTTTTCTTGTATGTTGGTCCTACTTAGTGGTACTTTACGTTGATTTTGTTCCTCTACCCACGGAGAGAGGAGAGATTCCATTAATATAATTAAAGAACTTTTGCCTTTTACAATTTGTTGGGCTATAAATGAGTTTGTATTTTTTGCAGCTTCTCTGATTTTTTCTGCGTCACGATTACATATGGATCTAATGGTAGTGACGGGTATATTAAGAATTCTTGCAATATTTAGCTTGAATACTTAGCTTTTTCCCCGGCATCAAACCGACGTAATATTTCTAATTTTTTACCTAGAGATATTGTACTCTTAGTTTTCTTTACGATTTTTCCACTCATTTTGATCTATAAATAAGAAATACGTACATGTGAAACATACTCTATATGAACGCAAGATTACATAATTATTCAATGTAATTCTAACTCCAATAATCATCAATAATATATTATCTTACCTCAATGTGTCTTCGCAATTTGACAGTTTCACTATCGCTAAGACCGCCGTTTCAAGAAAGACTACCGCTATCATGTATGAAAACGAATGCGCACGACTCCACGCAGTGAATGCGAGTGAATCCCCGTTTTATTTCATCTGTAGCGACGCATATCGAATCATAACAACGCAAATCTCAGACACAGTCCTATATCTATGATGCAACGCAAATCGAAACAACGCAACTTGAGTTGACGCAAATCGAGACCTAGTGTACTAGAAACATCAACATATTAACTTTAGACTTGCACAACTCGGCATTGTACGAAAACTCGCCAAACGTGTACTCGTGCGCCAAAATATTTAACAAATTACCAAATGATGTTAAATCTTTACCTTTGGATAAATTTAAAATTACTCTTAAAAAAAGGATCACGGAAGCATGCTACTATTCTCTGGATGAATACTATAACGATTAGTTTATTATTTTCTCGGCTTATTGTGTATTTATTGTGTATTTATACTATATTGTGTACTTATTTTTGACATACCTTATTACTACTAACTATAGTCTGAAAGGGTGAATAAATGTGATTTGATTTGACTCCTTCTGGCTCTACCGTCTTTTTCTGAAAATAAGACACTGTCTTACTTTCTTTTTTGGTCCAAAATACGCACTAGGGCTTATTTTCGGGGAGGGCAAAAATAAAAGTATATTTATATATTTTTATTTAATATTTATTTTACACAGAATACAGAAATTTAAATTTATTCAATTACAGTCATGTCATCTTCTTCTGGAACATCGTCATAAATAAAATTCTGAATTCTGAATGACTCTGTTGAATCATTGGTCCGAATCTCTCATGTCTTGCGATAGCTATCGTTAAATGAATCTCAATATATCGTGTGTTTTAGAAGAAAAATTTATTGTACAATTGGTTTCTTAAAGAAAGAGAAAAGAATTCACGAAAGGAAAGCTAAACATATTATTACTTATACTTAATAAATCAACAGCATTTTTTAACGAATTCTTTTTGTCACATTATTTTAACTAGGGCTTATTTTCGGAGGATGTCTTATTTTACAAAAAAATTCGAAAATCACGATAGGGCTTATTTTCGGAAAAAGACGGTATATTAAGCCTTTTTCAATTTGAAATTGTTGTGCCATCTATTGTTGGGTTTTTGAATTTATTTTGGATATACGGATTTTCTATTAGATAGACGAGGATAGACGAAGGTGTCCTTTTTTATGGGTCTATCTGATATGCATTTTGAATCCAACATGTGCGCAATATTGCAGTTGCTTTTAACATTGAAAAGATTTATCATATAATCAATATATTATATTTAATAAATTATAATTATTATAATTTTTGATAATCTTTTATTAATCAAAATTTTAAAACATGTTAAGTAAGGATTGTATTATTTCCATGTCCATGTCTATTATTATCATTGGACGGCACCGGCCGCAATCCGCCATATTGAACGTTGAATAATTTATTAAAAGATAATTCTGAAAATTTCTTAAATTATCACTTAAATCTCCATTATATTTATATAAATCAACTATAAAACGATGTCTACAATTGTCACGGCTCGAGTTTTAGCACCAGGTACCGTAATACACCATAACTAACATGTTTCTAATTTATAGGTTATCTAACGCATGATTTTTTTAGTACTAAGACGAACTTTAAAGCAATTATTGTTCAATTGCGAAGCTATTAAATATCAAAATCGACATAAAATAGTACAATGTTTCATACCAACCACAACCCAGAGAAGATTTTACGCTGAAAAGAAGGTTTTCGAACGTAACAAGCCACATTGTAACGTTGGAACAATTGGTCACGTTGATCACGGAAAAACCACATTAACTGCTGCCATTACTAAGGTTTTAGCCGATAAAAAGTTAGCCAGTGCAAAGAAATATGCCGATATCGATAACGCACCGGAAGAAAAAGCAAGAGGAATCACAATTAACGTTGCTCATATTGAGTACCAAACCGAAAATAGACATTACGGCCACACCGATTGTCCTGGTCATGCCGATTACATCAAAAACATGATAACAGGAGCAGCTCAAATGGATGGAGCGATTCTTGTTGTTGCTGCAACTGATGGTGTGATGCCCCAAACAAGAGAACATCTTTTATTAGCGAAACAAATTGGTGTTAAACACATTGTAGTATTTATTAATAAAGTGGATGCAGCTGATAAAGAAATGGTGGAACTAGTAGAAATGGAAGTTAGAGAATTAATGACTGAGATGGGTTTGGATGGTGAAAAGGTTCCTGTTGTTCATGGCTCCGCACTCTCTGCTCTAGATGGAAAAAGTCCTGAAATAGGTTCAGAAGCCATTATGACACTTCTTAAAGAAATCGATTCGTACATTCCAACTCCTGTCAGAGAATTAGATAAACCCTTCATGTTACCCGTCGAACATGTTTATTCAATAGCCGGACGAGGAACTGTTGTAACCGGGAGATTAGAAAGGGGAATAATTAAAAAAGGAAATGATGTTGAATTTGTTGGTTATAACAAAGTTTTAAAAAGTACTGTAACCGGGGTTGAAATGTTTCATCAGATTTTAGAAGAAGCTCAAGCTGGTGATCAACTTGGAGCTTTGGTTAGAGGTGTTAAAAGAGATGATATCAAAAGAGGCATGATTATGTGTAAACCAGGCACGATGAAAGCTCACGATCATTTAGAAGCTCAAGTTTACATTTTAAGCAAAGAAGAAGGTGGTCGATCAAAACCTTTTACTTCATTCATTCAGATGCAAATGTTTTCAAAGACTTGGGACACCGCCGTTGTTGTTAATATTCCTGATAAAGAGATGGTGATGCCAGGTGAAGATTCAAGACTAATTCTAAAAATGATGCGGCCAATGGTTTTGGAACAAGGACAACGATTTACTCTTCGCGATGGTAATCTCACGCTTGGAACGGGAGTTGTAACTAAAGTTTTACCGAAACTTACAGAAGAACAAATCGCTTCGCTCACGGAAGGTAAAAAAGCTAGGGAGAAGAAACAAAAAGAAGCTACAGCACCTAAATAATTGAGTCTTATAATTATTTTTGTTTTTTTTTTTTTTTGTTCTGTTTAGATATAGTTTGATATAGATATAAGAATTAATAATTATGTTTTTTTGTAATTAATTTTTTTCTTTTGAGTTTTGTTTCTTAATGATGATACATCGTCTTTTAACCAATTCTATGTATTTTGTAAAATAACGACTTGATAAATAAAAGTGTTTTGTTGGAAAGTAACAAAAGAAATCGTCGATCCTAAAGCTTCTGCCAGTATGCATTTCTGACATCCTCTCCATGTGCCCAAGCCACCAACAAGGGAAGTGTCACAACTACAGCTTGCAATACCGGGATCCCGGACAATTTTTGTCCGGCATTAAAAACCAGTATTGATGGCAAAATACCGGTATTTCGGTATTATTTTTATTTAGTGCCCTCGATGGCCGGGGGCGGCCAATATTTTCGAAAACGACCGTGTTAGTTTGAAGTTGTGTTGGAAAATGATGTAGAGGATTCTTGTTTGTTATCTATCTTCTGTCCGTTCTAAGTTTACATTTTCAAGTGCAATTTTTTGACGTTTCATTAAAAAAATGCTAGCCGGAAGCGACCAATCGAAAACGGCCGTGTTTGTTTAAAGCTGTGCTGGAAAATGATGTTGACCAAATAAATTTCTTATCTATCTTATGCCCGTACTAACCTGATCAGACTGACTCTGCTGGGGATATAGAATTGATTGAGTTTTATTGGAATAACACGCTTCCACAAGTCACAGACAAACTTTATTTCTCTCTTACAACTGAATCTGGGATTTTAAGCATTTTAAAGGGAATAAAATCTAACTCAACGGGTATTGATGGCATAACTGCTAAAATGATTGTTTTGTGTTGTCCCACTATTTTACCTTTCTTGTGTCACGTTAACTACTCAATCGAGCATTCCGTATTCCCTGATGTCTGGAAATGTGCCTTGGTCACCCCAATCCCTAAAACTTCTAATCCCCGGGAGTTGAGTCATTTACGCCCTATTAGTATCTTACCCCTACTCACCAAAGTGTGTGAAAGAGTCATAGCGGAAAGACTCCGACATCATCTCGATTTGTTTGATATCTTACCAGATTATCAGTCTGGTTTTCGTGCGGGTTTTAGTAGTTCTACTACGCTGTTGGCGGTGACGGATAAAATTTTAAAAGCTATTGATAATAAACAAGTTACAATCTTAATTCTTTTGGATTTTTCTAAGGCATTTGACCGAATTCATCATGAAACTTTACTGGCCGTGCTGCACTACATTGGTTTATCTGAAGAATCTATCGAATTTATCCAAAGTTACTTATCTAATCGAAAACAGTCAGTGGTACTTAATGGTCAAACATCTGGGGCTGTGGATATTGTTTCTGGTGTCCCACAGGGGTCTATTTTGGGACCTCTTTTATACTTACTTTCCACCATTGGTTTTGCGGATGCTATTGATTATTGTACACCATATATATAGGTGTATCTGAATGACTGAAACAAACTTCAAGGGGTGATTCTTTAGTGAATTTTAAGGGTACTTTCATATATGAACCATGGGCGACTTCGGCTCCCCTAAGGAGCTACACCCCTCCAAAAATGGGGGAAAATTTTGGTTTAATTGTTTTTTCTCAAAAACCATAAACGCTAGGAAAATGAAATTTGGGGAATATGTTTAACTCATAATAGGGCACGTTTTGACCCTATTTGTACTTTCAACCTACCCTTCTAAACTACTAAACGTAACCACCCCCGTTCAATTTATGCCTAGATTTTTTTTATGAAGATGATAAATACATTGGAAAAATTTCAGTTAGATAGATAAAACTATTCTAAAACTTTTTTGTCTCTCTGATGTTCTTCGAAAATTTAATAATTTCTGAGAAAAAAAATAATTAAGCAAACACTAACTGTTAAGCTGTAGGGTTGTTAATCGAAAGTTGGAATGAATTTTTAATGAAAAAATCTTAGTAGGCTTTGCAATCTTTGTCAGAAATATTTTTGACGTTTAAATATCAGTGGTTTTCTTACTTTATTATTGTTTTATTTAAAATTTTGAAACGTCGAGTGAACGAGCGTAAATGCGATAGAACTTTATTCAAAAATTAATTTGAAAAACAATAATAATAGTAAGAAAAACTGACATTTAAACGTCAAAAATATTTCTGACAAAGATTGCAAAGCCTACTAAGATTTTTTCATTAAAAATTCATTCCAACTTTTGATCGACAACCCCGTTGTTTAACGGGCAGTGTTTGCTTTATTATTTTTTTTCTCAAAAATTAGTCGTTTTTGGAAAAATTTTAGAGAGACAAAAAAGTTTTAGGATACTTTCATCTACCTATGTAATTTTTTTTTAATGTATTTACCCTCTGCATAAAAAAATTTTAGCAAAAATGTAAAGGGGGTGGTTACGTTTAGTAGTTTAGAAGGATAGGTTGAAAGTACAAATAGGGTGAAAACGTGCCCTACTACCAGTTAAACATATTCCCCAAATTTCGTTGTCCTAGCGTTTATGGTTTTTGAGAAAAAAAAATTAAACCAAAATTTTCCGCCATTTTTGGAGGGGTGTAGCTCCTTAGGGGAGCCGAAGTCGCCCATGGTTCATATATCAAAGTACCCTTAAAATTCACTAAAGAATCACCCCTTGAAGTTTGTTGCAGTCATTCAGATACACCTGTATATGCTGATGATACACAGCTTCTTTATTCCTTTAATTCATACAATTATGAGATAGCGGAAAGAAATATAAATCATGATTTACATAAGATTGTGCAGTTTGCCGCTAAACTCTGTCTTCATATAAACGCTTCCAAGTCATCGGCCATGGTGTTTGGAGACAAATTCTCTGTAGAGTTTGTAAAATCCAATCTTCATTGTGATTGGCGATAATGAGCTGGTGTTCGGGGACAATGCTAAAAGCTTAGGTATTATTATTGATGAACGTCTCCGTTTCTGTGAACATGTTCGGTCTCTTCTACGGAAAGCCTATGCTACTTTAAGGTTGCTTTATAATAATAGGTACATCTTAAACCAAAAATTGAAACCACAGCTTTGCGATGCTCTTGTTTTGTCTATATTTAATTATGGTGACGTTGTTTACCATTCATGTCTTGATAGTGTACACTCGGATAAGATTCAAAAACTTCAAAACTCTTGCTTGCGATTCATTTACGGTATCCGTAGAAGAGACCGCATATCACACGCACTAGTGTGGGCTGGATGGCTAAATATGTCACGAATTTTTTGATCAGTGTGAATACCATCTACAAAAAATATTATTTTGCATTCTGACAGAATGTTGAAGATAACGAAGACTCAACCTTTGATGATGACAACTTAATGTTCGTATTTAATAAATTTGTCAGACCTAGCCAATAATAAAATACTCTCTGCATACAACTCTTTTTGGAGTATTTACTCCATAATGGTGTTTCAGGTTAGTTTGATTCGTGTAGTTTCCCACCAAGTATAACAGTAGTATGATAAGTCTGACAAACTACCAAGAGCCATTATGTTAAAGTTTCTTTCGTGAATTTGCACCTTTCCAGAAAATTCCATAGCAGGAATTCGAAAGAATTCCACAGAGCTTCAGATGATAAAGTGTAATTTCATTTCTTGACGCGGCAGTCAAGTTGAACCTTTGGACCAAGCGAAAGACAACAAAACAATAATGGTATCCAGACCTTTAAGTTTATTGGTACTTTGTACAGATTGCTAATATATTTCCATTTTTTGATTATTTTCTCAGATTCTGTATCTTATGCTTTGTTGCCAATCTAAAAATATAGTAGGAATTAAACTGTTGTTAGTAGAGGTGACATCGCAGAGGGGAAAAAGATCTTACAATTACATATATCTAGTGATTGTAATTTAGTGAGTAAACTTTTTTATAGTAATACCGGTATCCCGGTTTTAAAAATTTTCAATTGAGATTTTGGTCTGGTATTGCAAGCCCTAGTCACAACTGTGTCTAACCGATTTCAATGAAATTTGGTACAGTCACAAAATGGACCCAAATTTTTATAAGATAGGATAGTTATTTTGCGAAAAACCGGATATTCGACATCCCGTTCGGCGGATATCCGGTTATCCGGCCATTACGGTTATAATTTCTGGTGCATTTCTGAAGTGATAACCTATATTGCTACATTATTGCGATATTTGAATAAAAATGAAATTAATAAAAAAGCTAAAAGATATGTCAACTTATTTGGATCCAAGATATAAAATGAATTTTTTGATGCTGATTTAACCTAACGAAGCAACTCTAAAAAGAGGATTCCAAGAACTTTATTTTATACGAATTTTTAAAACTTAATCAGCAAAAATTGCAAAATTCGAAAAAATTGTTAATTATTTGAAATTTTTTTTCTCAAGAAGTAAAAGTGATTTTTCAAAACGGATTGTTGCTTTAAAAAGAAGATATTTTAATTAATAATTGGTGATATTTCCACAAGGATCCTTCAAGAAACTAATTTTATAGCGAATTTTGAAAATTATCGATGAAAATTGCAACATCGAAAATTTTATCAAAACTTCAAATATTGTTTTCTCAAAAACTAAAAGTAATTTTTCAAAACGTGTTAGTTGATTGGAAAGAGGACACTTTTATTAACACTTTGGGAAAGTTTCATACTCATATTCCAAGAACTGGATTTTATACGAATTTTTAGAACTTAATAAACGAAAATTGCAAAATTTGAAAAAATTGACGATCATTTCAAAAATTTATTTCTCAAGAACTGAAAATGATTTTTCAAAACGGCTTTTTGCATTAAAAAGAGGATACTTTAATTAATAATTGGTGATATTTCCACAAGGATCCTTCAAGAAACTAATTTTATAGCGAATTTTGAAAATTATCGATGAAAATTGCAAAATCGAAAATTTTATCAAAATTTCAAATATTGTGTTTTCAAAAACTAAAGATTATTTTTTAAAATGGGTTGGTTGATTGGAAAGAGGACACATTTATTAACACTTTGGGAAATATTCATACTCATATTCCAAGAACTGGATTTTATACGAATTTTTAGAACTTAATCGGTGAAAATTGCTAAATTCGAAAGACTGAAAAGAACATTTTAATAGAACCGCCTTTGTCGTTACCACCGGCTTCTTCTTCATCTCTTGATGTTGAACCTCCAATAAAACAATTCAAGCAAACTCGCTTAACCGTACCATTTTCTGCAAAACAATTTGCAGAAATCTGGAGATGATGCGTTGATTCAAATGATAGTTCAGGATTGTCGAAAATAAAGGTTTGCGCAAATACACCAAAATATTAAATACCGATTATGAACTGCCTTCGAGGAAAAAATTGACTCAGATGTTGGAAGAAAAATGTAACATTGAGTCTATAATAGCATAAATAGCTAAACTCCAGTGACACAGACAGGCAAGCACTTACAAAGAACTCTTGCTGTTATAATAAAGAGCTAATCAAGCTACTATTCTTGATCCACGATATAAAATATCAGCATTTAGTTCAGAAAGCAACGCTAACAATACGCAAATATGGATAATAAATGAACTAATGTGAACAGTTTGTATAGCATTGATGCTGTGCTTGCACATTCTTAAAAGTGATCGCAAACGATTTCTCATGATACCATTGCACTGTTGGTCATTTTTTTAAATAAATTTTATAAACAATATTGAAAATAATTAAGACAATGTTTAAAAATTTCTTAACTTTGAAGGCCCATATCTTAGATATTTATTGGGTTAGACCAAAAAGTTTTATACGAATCGTCATCATTGTGACTCTAGTATTTGTGATTAAAATTATGCCCATACACAAATATCCTCTGTATTATATCTGACCAATTGCATATATCATCAAGGATGAAACACCACAATATCAAACGAAATTGTAGACGAAACTCTTAAATTTAGACAAGGTCGCTTGTTGCATATTATAATTAATATTACCTTCTATATTTATAACACCACTTACAATTAGAAGCCAATGTACTATTTTATACCACCCAGTTTTGGCATATATAATACTATAACATCATTCTAATTGTCTTAATTTTATTCTCCAATCCACAACCAATTCCAATTAATAAAATATATATTAATAGATATTGTCTTTATAAATATTTATTAGAAAATAATACTTGTACATGATTTATTTACATTGTACATAATAAAATTGAAGATTGCAAGCCTAAAAACTGCTCAAATTAAAGAAATTTGAATTACAACTTACAGAATGCTTTGCTCCTAAAAAAACACATCAGTATACGTTTTTAAAATGACAAATTAATTATAAGAAAAAAACGTATTTTTAAAAATACATACAGGTGTTTTATAAAAGTCTACTATAAACAGCTCTTTGTAACTACTTTTTGTTAGTTTAATCTTTAAATTAAGTAAAAATTGTATTCTAAATGGCGCAAAATTGTACAACAAAATATTATAATTAATTCATTTCACAACATTATTTTCATTTGAACATTTAACAAAAATTCCTTCATTTTTTCTTAGTTTTTATACAAATTATTAGCACAAAATTGTTTTATTATTATCACTAAAAGAAATTTTAGATACCAGTTCAAAGCTCATCTTTTAAAAGCGTATAACGATTTTTCGATGGCGCCAATTTTTTAAAAGTACTCTCAGGGGGAGTTGTTGGTTGTTTCTTCGCACTTTCTGTAGCTTTCTCGGCTTCTTGGGGATCATCAGGACCGTAATGAAACTCCCGGTGCAATTTCCCCGTGTATAAATCTTGTATGAATTGTTTTAATTTTCCAGCTGTATCGATATCTTTAAAATCTGGGAATAAATACATATGTCGAAAACTATCGATCGCAATCAATGGTAAATCGGATTCGCTTTTTCCTAAATGATGTAAAGGATGTGCAAATTTCTTCCCATCAGCAGTTAAAAAATTAATCGATTCTAAAATATTATTTCATTTAATTAAAAAAATAATTACACAAAAAAATAATATTTTACTTACGTTTTTCACCCAATAATTCAGTTTTAACAAGCCAAGTAAATTTTTTAATCGATTCTTTATCATCGGGATGATGAAATAAGATTAAAAACGGTAACCCCTCTTCTGTTAATTCTTCAGCGTTTTCAAAAGTTATCTCTCTAACGAGCGGTACACATTTTTCCTGCACCCAAATGTGTAGTTCATCGAAATTATTGAGATCTCCCATAAATGTCTCGTCCAAATCGTTGGATCGTTCTACATCCGGTCGAAAAACGATCACAGGTTGGCCTGGTGGATGCATTTGTTGCGAGGCATCTCCAAAACCAACATGAAATTGACAATCGTCTTTTAAATTTGACGCTACGCGTCTGAAGACGTTGTATTGGGGTTGATCTCTTCTATCGAAATATCCTTAAAAAATTTATTAATAGTTTTTCTTTTAAATATTGGATGTTACAGAAAATTGTTAAAAACGGTAAAGAGGTAAATTAGTTATTACATTTACATAAAATGCAATAAAATTCTGAGTAATAATATAAACTTTGATGTAGTACATTTTAGCACGACTGTATTAATACACCAGCAAAGGTATAACTTTATATTTCAACAGGATAATAAGTATAAACGTATTGTAACGAAAACTAAGATATCACCAGAATTAAGAACTCGATATCAATAAGCAATTCTGAAAATTAGTCGAGTTTTATGTCGAGAAAACCCAGTACATTTCGAGCATTGTGGACAACTGATAGCGCTATCACCAGGTTAAAGCAAATACTTAATATGTTAAACGTAATGTTAATGAACGATGACGAAGGTATTGAACGAGGTTATTGTTAGCGATTATGTTGGGAGTTTTATGTCGGTCATTCAAGCGATATGGACGTGTGAGATCTGATCCAACTGATATAAACCTTAACGTAAACACTCGATTATTCATAATATTAACTTTTATTTATCGTGTTGTCGGGAGTGTCAACCCTTATATATCGATATAAACGAGAGGCAGTCCTAAGGGGTTGTAATTCAACCTTAACTTTATGAGCTCCAAGAGAAAATCTGACGAATTGTCACCACCTATAAATGAAACCTCGAAGAGATACATATGGACTCCAAATACCAAACCTGTTCATATTTTCAAAAGAAATCAGTTTTTTCCACTTTCTCAACTCAACAATCGACCAGATGACAATGAACCGAGTCCATCTACCTCAAGTCAAACAACTGCTCAAAAAATTAAACGAATTCCACCAATATTTCTAAAAGGGTCTTTTAACCATCAAGAAATTCTTAAGGATTTAAAAAAATTAGTAAAATGTGAATTCACAATACATTATTCCACTGATACAACTAAAATAAACATACCCACTGAAGATGATTTTCCCATTATAAAACCAGTAAAATAGACCACTACACCTATAGAAACCCAGATTCCAAACCACTTTCGGTGGTTATGAGACATATTCCCTGAGTCACTGACAGAAGAAGAAATAACAAATTTACTAATCGAACAAGGTTCCCAGTATTAAAAGTAAATAAACTGACCGGCAAAAAAACCGACCACTATAAATTAGCCAAAACTTCAAAGCTGGCTTTCTCGCGAACCGCGCATTCGATTTTGATGATTGGTTTTTTGATCGAAAGGTTGATTCTTCGGTAATAATCCTGCGATAGAAACTTTCATTTAGATTTTAATTTGGGCATATATGGGCTGCAAGAATGAGAAAAACTTTTTTTTCTTGAAATTTGTAATACCCTGTGGGGTGCAACTGCTACAGCAGATGGTGTTAACTGGAATCAAACGGTAGCCCAATCTTTTCTGAACATCTTGTTTTTTTATTCACTCTATTATCTCTATTACTAACGAAGATACAGTGTTTTAAAGCGAACGCCTGCAAAACAAGACAAACAAGCATAAAAAATCTAAGGTGGCGCGCTAGGTAGCGTATGTCATTTGTTTCGAATAGTAAATTGATAAAGATTTTTACAGTCTTTTAACATAGTAGCAATCCCGTTGTCAGTAACTGATGTTGCGCGTATTGTTACTTTAATTGAGGATGGCAAAAGTCAGCAATACGTTGTCCATACGTTGGGTATACCCCGAACAACAGTTCAGCATGCCTGGAACCAATATGTGGAAACAGCAAATTTCACTAGGCGGCAAGGTTTCGGTAGAAGACGAGTGACAACAGCAGTTGATGGCCGATTTATTGTTCTAAACACTCTGAGGAATCATAGAACGATAGCTGTAGAAACTCGGCATCGTCTTCAAATGGTGCGTGGGGTTGACGTAAGTGAAAAAACTATTCATCAAAGACTTGATAAAAGTGATCTGACTGCAAGAAGACCTGCCAAAAGACCTCGGCTGCTCCAGAGACATCGGCGAGCACGTCTTCAATTTGGGCGCTTACATATGAATTAGGGAATGGAACAATGGGGTAAGGTGCTCTTCACTGACGAGTCCCGATTTTGTCTCCGGTCACCTGATGGTCGAGGATGAGTGTGGAGACGTCGCGCGTCGTAATGAAAGGTTTGCGACCTGCACAATTTCGGAAAGAGTACCTTTCCATGTAGGTTATTCCCATTTTATTGGTGACGGATTCATGCTAATGCATGACAATGCGCGACGCACGTAGCACGTGTGGTTAACGAATACCTTGATTAAGTAGGGCATTGAACGGATAGAGTGGCTAGCGTGCAGCCCGAACCTTAACCCTATCGTATATCTTTGGGACCAACTTGAGAGACGCATTCGTCGTCGTCCTGTCCTACCGGACAACCTTCAAAAGTTACGAATTGCTTTTGAAAAAGAGTTTGCCGCAATTCCTCAGGAATCAATTACGAACCTAATCAGTTCGATGCCGCGTCGACTACATGAGGTTATTTTAGCTCGTGGGGGCTAAAAACGCTATTAATTTTCGTGTTATTATTAATTGTTACATTAAACTAAGTTTGTTTTCTTGTTTATTTGTCAACAGATGTTTACAATAATGAAGGACGTACGTAATTCTGTAATTCTAAGAAAATGTAAGTGTTTCTGCAAAACTTTTCGGGTGCCCAGTTTTTGTTTTCAAGGCCAATGATTTAAGGCGCCACTTTTAACAAAGATTAAAAATCTGTATAGGCTTCATTGTAAATTCCCGACCACACCATCACAAAACTACCATCGAAACATTCGCGTTTCATAATTGTATAGTCCACAAATCTTTCATTTTAACGTCTTCATATTCGCTCACCGACCATCGGGTGATAGACAAAACCACTACTCATCCGTAAAAAGGATTTTCCTCCAATTTACATGTAAGCGCGCACATATCTTGGAAGCAGCCTCGGTCCTTTGGCAGCCTTCTTGCAACGAGACCTCATCTAGCAAGTTTTCAGCGAATGGTTCTCTCACTGACATCAACAACATGCACCATTTGAAGACGACACCGAACTTCTACAGCTGTCGTTCTACGATTGCTTAGAACAATAAAACGGTCATCAGCTACTATTGTCACTCTTCTTGTTTTCACAGGCGATCGCTTTAAAATACTGCATCTTCGTTAGTAACAGAGATAATAGAGTGAATAAAAAATCAAAATGTTCAGAAAAGATTGGGCTACCGTTTTATTCCAGTTTCTCATTCTTGCACCCCGTATATGCTCAAATTAATATCCGAATAATCGCAGGATTATTACAGAAGAATCAACCTTTCGATCAAAAAAAATCATCAAAATCGAATGAGTGGTTCGCGAGAAAGCCAGCTTTGAAATTGTGGTTAAATTTTAGTGGCAGGTTTTTTTTGCCGGTCAGTGTAGATTGTATAACAAAAATAAGATAGCAATTACCCATATGCGCAATCGAACTCACGGCGAGCGAAAAAGCATCAGAAATCTTCAAGTTGAATAAACTTGACCACACTATTGTAACCGTAGAAGCCAGACACGCATCTCGCTCTGTTCCACAATGTTATCGTTGTCAACGATACGGTCATACTAAAAATTACTGCGCAATGCCACCAAGGTGTCAAATGTAAAGAAAATCATTTAACTAATGAATGTTCGAAACCTACTGGCGATCCACCTCAATGTGTTAACTGTAATGAAAATCACCCAGCCAATTACAGGGGATGTAAATACTATCTAGAACAAATTAATTCTAGAAACAAACCTACCATAAGTCGACAAAGACGGCACGAATTAACCACTCCATCCTTAAGTGCACAACCCAACTCAATCCTACCCAATTCTTCTAATAACCTCAATAAAACCTACGCAAATGCAATTAAAAATACAAATCCACCATAAAATTCAAATGAACCTACAACTTCCTCAACTGACCCCATCATTAAGAGCCCACTTTACCAGGTCGGTCAGTTTCTGAGGGGCGCAGACGACGGACGTTCGGAAGCAACGATGCGGAGTTTATTTTCTACTAGGTCCGACCCTTTATAGATAAAAAAACATCGTGTTTATTTTATTACGATTCTTTTTCTCGTCGATGTTGTTAATGAAGAAATTAAACGACGTCTTCTAAATATTATTGTTTATTAACAATTTTTCTTTCAGTCAATCTTTTTATTGACTTTCCAATTTATTTATTATTTTAGTTATTATTTTGATTTTTTATTAATAATCGTAGTCGTAGCCCACTTTTTTACTACGTTTGTTTTTTTTAAGTATTTTGGTTCACAACAATTTACATTACGCAAATATCAGTTTTTTAATGCTTTTTCTCGATATGAATAGAATATTAATTTTTTAATAGAGAAATTAGAGAAAGAAGTTGAGAACATCATAGATTGTGGGTTTATAATTCAATTGAATGTAAGGCAAAAATCAATTTTAAATGCAATAAATAATTTTGCGAGTCATACAACATTTATATCATTTTAAAACGAAAATAACATTTATAACTTCATTTTATATTAAAATAGATATATTTGCAATACAGGGAATGTGAAAAGTTCGGTACAACATTTATAAATTATACCTTTGTTGTATTATTATGCGTTCGTTTGATATACAGGTGTCTCAGAGTAATCGTGTAAGTAATTTTATTTGAAAACACAGGTAGTTACAAAAATTAAAGAAAAAATTTAATAACTGAATAAATGTGCTTTCTTGGCTGTGCAAAGCATATCCATTTTATGAATATTATTACTTTTCATTCCACTATTTGAATATTTCCGTTTAAATAAATGGACTGCATGGATGGTCTGCATCACCTTGTATAAGTAAATGAAATAATATGTAATACCTAATTAATAATAATATTAAATAATGATTCAAGTATACAAAATATGGCTAAGAGTGTAATAAATAAAACAGTCCTGAATAGAAAAATCTTTAGGAATAATGTAATAGAAAGTGGTGAATCAAACAACTTTTGTATAAAACATTTTTTTCTTTCTCAAACGGTTTAGCAACTATCGTCCGCCAGGATAGTAATAACTCACCTGTATACTATATTCCATACATAATGAGCACCCTGTATAAATAACTATTATTTTTACAACAAATGTTCAAATATTTGATATAAGACGAACTCGGTACTGGCCTCTTTAGGTAGGTATCGTGAAACACGTCAGGCGTTGCTTGTAAACTTAATTCTGAAAGATACTTATGAATGATAGAAAAATTGATGTATGATATATCAAAATACTGTTTACTAATGACAAATTATATTGACATGTTGCATTTTATGTGGGACAAAGTAATTAGGTACGCCCTGGTTTATACATTTTTGCATATTGCATCTTAAGTAAAATTCACAGTATATTTTTATAGTTTAATGTATGAGTAAACAGTAAATAATAAACTTTTTTACTTTTTTTTTCTTAATGAAAAAAATGAGATAATGAAAAAACTCTTGAACACACACTTATTTTTGCTTTTAAATGTATCTCACTTAAGTCATTGGATTTTTTTTAAAGCTTCATCTTTAAATTAATTTAAGGATGCCTAGTTTGTTTTGTTTACACTTTTTAAACAAAAGTTTTAAGTTAGTTTTATTAAATAATAAAATGTTGGTATTTCAACCATATAATAGAATGTAAACAAGATAATAAAGTTATTTATAACTTATTTAAATAATTATCGCGTGCTTACTGCACTTACTACATTTTTTAAATAATTCCATCTTTATGATTTTATTAATTTTAATGTCCACTTTACTAAGTATCTTTTATATAACTTCAGAAGAAAATTAAAGTAAATCTCATATCTTAACATATAAGAGAATAATATAGGAGATTATAAGCAAACCAATTCAATGTAGAGGAACAAAAAATTAAAAAAATTTAAGTAATAATTACTGTATAGAAAAAGCGAATGAGTTAAACATCCTCTTATTACAGAACTTACCAATATTAATTAATTAGAAGAGTATATCAGTTCAATGATCAATAAATACCATTATCTTTAATTTAATATCTCAATTGCTTGTTACAACTAGTTGGATACTTACCAATAACGATTCGTTTATTTCCATCTAATTTAACCAATTCAGAAATAGACCCAAACTCCTTAATTGGATCAACAAGTTGTTCCTTAATAAAATTAGTAAAAGCCTCAACAGATCGTTGCCCGCGATACTCCTTTTTCGCAGGTTGACCATTCCTAATAAGTTTTAATGTGGGATATTTGCTAATGTGAAATCGACTGGCCACTGATGTTTCTTGATCGCAATCGACTTTACCAAGAACGACACGTCCCGCTTCGGGAACCTCCTTTGAAACATTATCCGCCGCTTCATCAAAAATTGGCATTAATAAATTGCTAAATCTACACCAATCCGCATAAAAATTAATCAATACTAATTCATTGGAAGCTAAGGTCATATCCAGATTACTTTGGGTTAATTTTACAGCTCCACTATCAGTTGGATTATAAAAGAAATGAATTATCTAAAATAAAAGAAAATATTTTTAGGTTATGTGGTTTTAATGAATTTTTGGTGGGATTTTTACGTTCTTATCTTGAAATTGGATCGGAACAAGGACGAATTTATAAAAAACTATTCGTATTTATAGCGTAATTAACAGAAAATACACGAATACGTAGTCGTGGCAGAAATAGCGGCAAACAATACTTACTAATATCACTGTTAGAACGAATAATTTCCTATTAAAAATACATTGTAACGCATCCATTATTTTATAGCCGCTTGATTAGTGGAGGCGCAGGTTATAGATGAACACAGAGTTTTAATTTTTAAAATTTTTCCTTTTTGGACGCGAAACCAAATATTCGCTTCTGTCAAAATAGACTGAAATTGACACATTGGATGTTTAAGTTTAAGAAAATCGAACGCGAATGTCGTGGCATCTTGCGTCAACGTTACGTAATTTGTAATTTCTCCACGCAATGATAGATGTCGCGATTTTATTTACCTTTAAATTTTATTTTAATTAATTTAATTCTATTTATGTTTAATTATAATTGGAGGTTATTATGAATCTCTTCATTCACTATTTCAACATTCAACATTATTTTGAACAAAACTACCAGCGTATTGATAACACAGTGCAACAGCCATTCTGGGGAGTGAAAAATTTTAAGTCAGGGTGAAAGTACTAGGTCTATATAGTAAAACCTCCAAAAGGTTTGACGTTCTCAGGCCAAACTTTTTTTTTATGACCTTTTATCTTTCTTTTCTTATCTTGATGTTTGTTTGCTTAGTTTTTCAGTTATAACTCAAGAATCATTGATGATTTTTCATTTCATCCTTCAGCAAAGACTAAGGCTTAGCTAAGGCTTAAATAAATAATTTTCAATAACATATCCTTGTAAAAAATTAAGTTGGACTAATTTTATCGACTGAAATCTTAAAAAAATTGTCAAATCTCGAAAATAAAAAAAAAACCTCTTTGAAAAATAAAATCTTTACTCGAGAGTTCTACGAATTGTAACTATAAAAGCGTATTCTAATATAAGTATATAGTAATATACTAGTACTATATTAGAGAGAGAGAACAATATTTATTTGGAATATAAAAATAATAACTATAACAAATAGGAATAAATAACAAAAAAATACATATACAGGATGTATCTGAATGACTGCAACAAACTTCAAGGGGTGATTCTTTAGTAAATTTTAAGGGTACTTTGATATATGAACCATGGGTGACTTCGGCTCCCCTAAGGAGCTACACCCCTCCAAAAATGGCGGAAAATTTTGGTTTAATTTTTTTTTCTCAAAAACCCTAAACGCTAGGAAAATGAAATTTGGTTAATATGTTTAACTCATAATAGGGCACGTTTTGACCCTATTTGTACTTTCAACCTACCCATCTAAACTACTAAACGTAATTAAGCAAACACTAACTGTTAAGCTGTAAAATTTTGCAACGTCGAGTGAACGAGCGTAAATGCGATACAACTTTACTTAAAAATTAATTTGAAAAGCAATAATAATAGTACGAAAAACACTGACATTTAAACGTCAAAAACATTTCTTACAAAGATTGCAAAGCCTACCAAGATGTTTTCATTAAAAATTCATTCCAACTTTTGATCGACAACCCCGTTGTTTAACGGGCAGTGTTTGCTTTATTTTTTTTTTTCTCAAAAATTAGTCGTTTTTGGAAAAATTTTAGAGGCACAAAAAAGTTTTAACATACTTTCATCTACCTATGTAAAATTTTTCTTATCATCTGCATAAAAAAAATTTTTGCAAAAATGTAAAGTGGGTGGTTACGTTTAGTAGTTTAGAAGGGTTGGTTGAAAGTACAAATAGGGACAAAACGTGCCCTATTATGAGTTAAACATATTCCCCAAATTTCATTTTCCTAGCATTTACGGTTTTTGAGAAAAATAAATTAAACCACAATTTACCGCAATTTTTGGAGGGGTGTAGCTCCTTAGGAGAGCCGAAGTCACCCATGGTTCATATATCAAAGTATCCTTAAAATTTACTAAATCACCCCTTGAAGTTTGTTGCAGTCATTCAGATACACCCTGTATAAAACAAATATTAGATAAGTCCAAAAGGGTTATATACCTGAGTCTTCTGTAACATCATGACATCCACATCTTTACATCCAAACAACACAGCCGGACTGCCGTAGAGATATTTGAAATTCAATATATTTTTTAACTTTAGTTTTTATATACAGGATGTTCGTTTCAAAACTTACTATATCTACGTTGGCTAGCTTGCCTGGCGTCTGTCAGAGATAATTAGAAAAAACGATTTCTGTTTAATTTTTCTTTTCTTTTAGGTTTATTTGGTTATTACTTAAAGAACTTCTAACTGCTTGAAACGTTCTATTTTATTTTCAGTTATTTAATTATGTACAAACACTTTTTGCAGGGAAAATCAACTTAATAATTGTTCAAAGTGTTGTCCGTTATTAGCTAAACAATGGTACAACCGTTGTTCAAAACTACGGCGCACATTTTCAAAAACTTCCCTTTGAATTCCACGGCAAGCTGCAGTAATTCTCTGACGAAGTTCTTCTAAATTTTGAGGTTGAGGGGTAAATACAACAGACTTTAAATGACCCCATAAAAAAAAGTCTAATGGCGTCAAATCTGGTGATCTGGCTGGCCATTCTATAGGACCTCTTCGTCCTATCCATCTGTTTGGAAACGTATTATCTAACCACTGTCGTACTGGGAGAACATAGTGAGGAGGAGCTCCGTCTTGTTGAAAATGTAATTCATTCTCATCAAGTAAGGCATTTTCTTCTCTATCCAACTGATTCTCGAGAGCTTCCGTAATTAGTGGATTGATAGTATTTTCTAACATATCCAAGTACACTTCGCCGTTTAAATTTCCATCGATAAACACTGGACCAATCACTTGGTCTCCCAAAATGCCGGCCCATACATTAACTTTTTCAGGATATTGTGTATGCCCTTCTACAGTCAGATGAGGGTTTTCATTACTCCAATATCTGCAGTTATGTTTATTTACAAATCCATTTAAAGAAAAAGTGCATTCATCACTAAAGCAGATATTTTTCACAAAAACGTTGTTATTATTAATAATAGTGGTCACTTCTTCACAAAACTGTATTCTCCTGTCAAAATCGTCTTCAGTTAGCTCTTGATGTATTTTCAATTTATAAGGATGGAATTTGTGAAGTTTTACAACTTTATGAACAGAACCCAAGGATATACCAGTTGCACGAGATACCTGACGCAATGAAGTATTGGGGTTGATACCGAAATGACCCAACACTTCCAGTTGAGCGGTTTCATTCAAAACTCTCGACTCATTATGTTTTATGTTGGCAACGGACCCAGTCTGAGTGAATTTCTTCATGAGATTCAGGACGTATGTATGAGATACGTTCTTATCTGGATGCCTTTCATTAAAAACTGCGGCAGTTCGTCGAGCACATTCATTTTGGGATCCATACATTAATACAATTTCAATCCTTTCCTGCAAACTGTAAACCATTATTGCTGTTTTATTTAAATAACTTTGTTAAGTGGATAACACAAAGTTGTTTAAGTAATAACCAAATAAACTTATGTTTAGAATTGCACTTTTATTTTATTCTTTTCTCGCACTGTGAGCCTGCCTATAACTCGTTTATAGAAAGAGAAAAATTTCGTCTCTTTTTTTCCTTTTTTTGGCCATTCGAGTCAAGAGTAATTTTCATACAGGTTTAATGTAAAATACTTTCAATAAAATTTAGTTTAATTCATAATTATACGTGTTTAGTTTTCTTAAATATTTCCGATTGCTCCGAAATAATAAAGGTTTAATGGTCGTTGTAAAAACGAACATGGTAATTTAATTTTATAAATTAATAATAAAAGATTACTTATTCTTGCTTTTAAGAAGGTGATTAAAGTTTTTAATATTAATTAAAGCGGGAAATACAAAACAAAGATTTTCGCAAAAATTTCGAAAACGAATCGATCAATTTAAAAAAAATAAATACTAACATGTAGTACCTTAAAAGACCTTTAAAATGAGGTATCACTTGACACCCCTTTCCATTTAAGATTTTTAAGGGGTTGGTTTCTGGCGGCGGGGGGTTGAAGTGAGTGAGTCAATTTTTGCATAAAAAGTTGTCCCCCTTGGTTTTATTCTTTACCTATTTCAGCGATTTTCTTTTTAAACTTCCGGATTTACAGAAATTGAGGTGGAAAGTTTTGAAATGAACACCCTGTATATCTAAACAGTTGTAGTAAATAAATAATTTTAAACTCTTTTTAAAAATCAAAAGCAAAGCTTATAATCGAATGAATGAATTTACATCGAAATCAACAAAAATGGTAACATAGGTAATTTATGAAAATAAGGTAATTTGATAAAAGTTATGATTTCTATGTGAAGGTAGGCTGTGTACGCTACAATATCTAATAATAATAATTATATTAAATGTAATTCTAATAATTTAGAAGAATGTTGTAAATATGATAATCGGGGTGTTTGTGTGGGGGGTTGACAAAAGTTAAAGTTTTAAAAAATAGTTTCATGGAAACCAAACGAAAAGTTGAACTTGTGAGTGGACATAATAGGGATGGTCTATTTCAATTGACAAACGCTAATTAGTACACTTTAGTTGTAATCACATTTAGTAAATTAAGCTTGTGTTTTAGTAAATCGTGTTCTAACGATAAAACCATTACGGTGTAGTTTTAGGGATCATCTATGACACGCATGTGTCGGCCGTTTTTGTTGAATTGGCTGACACGATGTCAATCAGCCCTCTCTTACCTTCGACTTTGACTTGTTCAGATTGTGAAAGACCAACATCCCCTTATGTGTTAGAACCATTATTATTAAGAATAGATATGAGTATCTTTGTATTTCATTTATTTTATTTTACACCTAAAACCTACCTAAAACAATACCAGATTGTTTATTAAAAAAGTATTTAATAATAAGATTAGATAAATATGTACCAGGTGTCCCATCGGTTGTGTTTTTGACGTCTATTTTTTATTACACGTTTTGCGAATAATTTGCAAAAATATTAAAAATAACGAAATTTATGGTTTTATTTTTTAACAATTGTTATGTCATATGATGTGGGAGTCATAATAAAGTAAATTCACACCAAAAAAATTGCAATTTATTAATTATTTACTACAAAAATTAAGAAAAATTACATGACAGTTAGATTTATGGTACCGTGAACGGAGACTACTACCCTTACCAGGAGCAGTTCGTTTATTGCCGGTTGGGTAATAAAGCGACTGTCCAACTTAATTTTGAGCCGGTTGAAAGTAGTATAAAAATGAGAGTTCTGGACCGAAAGTTAATCCCTCAATCCCCCTGTGACGTCTGCGCATGCGCGCAGGAAGTGAATTTGAAGTGCATGTGGCGCCATCTGGTG